TAGTCGTCGTCCTTGAACGTCTGGGGCCCAAACCCTCATGCGATGCCTCGCTGCCACTCTTTCTGTCCTAGTCTTCATGTACATTAGGATGCCAACTGACAAAAGCGCTACCAACTGGTAAAAGCGACCTTGAGAAAAAGATTTACAAGATGGCACTTCAAAGCCTAGTATGTCTGTACGCGTCCACATGCCATAAATGGACACTCTCACCAGCGTCCATCATGCACAAGACACTTTCACCAGCGTCTAGGCCATAAATGGACACTCTCACCAGCGTCCATCATGCACAAGACACTTTCACCAGCGTCTAGGTTTCGACCCGCGTCTACCTTCCCCTGAGATGCCTGCGTTCATCATCTTTTGGTCGAGGCAGCCTGCCATCATCCGCAGATCCATGTTTATCATGCCACTGGCCAATGCAACAAACCTGACCGAGGAAAGAGGCGTGTCTTTTTTATCCAGCAGCCAGCTTCGGATAGTCTCAGCTGCTCCCCTGATGATAGTCTCAGCTGCTCTCCTGATGCAGGGGAATTTAACTTCTGCTGTTCTCAGACTCTGAATCTGAGTCCTGCTGGCCTCAGCATCACCTCGGCATCGGCAGGGGCTCCTGCGCAATGCCAATGCGCACATGCGAAAACTGGCCTCAGGTTTTGGGGAAAAAGCCTCTTCCTCGGCAGAGGCTTCCTTCTTCTTACCAGCTTCCTGATCAAGTGACAGAGCAACGACAGCTCCTCAAGTATCCGAGCCAGCGATTCCTCCGTTGCAGGTCTCGAAGCGGTGCTGGCCTGGGCAAAACATCATGGCTTCTGGATGGACAATGTACCCCAAAAAAAAACCCACTTACCTCTCCATCGTCCTTCTTTGTCTTTGCCTTCTTGGCATCCTTCACCTGATCTGGGAGGTAACGTGACAAGCTTCAGCAACAGGCCGCCGCAAACGTGCCTCCACCGCCGGAGCCTTTCGGACCTTGGTGGAGGCCTGCTGGGTCTCCTTCTCTTGGGTCTTTTTGGCCGCCTTGGCCTCCTTTTTCTCGGCCTCCTTGGCTTTTGCATCTCGGGCGTCCGAAGCCTTGGTGGGGCACAGAAGAGAGGATTGCTTCAAATAAAGGATTGCGTCCAAACGTGCAGCACAGAGGCCCGGCGCTTGTCCATCGTCGCGCCCATCTCCTTCGCCAGCTTTTTCCACTTGTCCTGCCCGCGGGACGTGGGCTCTGTTGGGGGCCGAATATCGGACCCTTCCTGGCCTTCTCGGTGACAACGTCGTGGATCAAGGTCTCCAACTCGGAGACCTTTGCGTCTGTCTTGACCTGACACGCTTTAGGGTTTAGGGTTGAGCGTAAACATCAGATCATGATTGTCCGGCCTTGTAGGCCTTGCCTCGCTCAACGGCGTCCAAGGCTTGCCTCAACTCCTCGGATTTTCTCGTCTCTTGGAGCTGGGCGTCCTTCAAGAGCTTCGACAGCTTGTCGATCTCGGCCTTGCAGAGGTCTGATGCGCAGTGGCCGTGAGTTCGGGGAATGAAGTGCACCGGCCTTCGACGTCTCCAGCTGTGTACTCATGGACCCCGTCATGGACTTGTATCTGTCCTCATGGAGAACAGTTTAAAGCAGAAATTTCAAAGTAGATGTGTGCCTGCCAGGCCTTCTCGGCCCGGAGATCCTTCAGCGAAGCCTCCAGCTCCTTGATGCGAATGGCCTGCTGCTCCTGGCACGAAACAACGGATTTAACAGTTACAACAACATGATGCCATCAGCATGACCTGTCCTGGAGCTTCTTGGAGGTCTCCAGAGCTTGGCCTCTGAGCTCCTGCTCTGTTTGCTCAGCCTCGACTCTGAGGTTTTGCTCCGCCTTCGCCTGGCAAGACTAAGACTAACAACCAAGCAACATGACAACTTTCAGCAACGGAACACGTCCTGGCCTTCTGTTGCGCTGCCTCTTGACTTTCCTTCTGGTGCGTCACTTGCTGCCGGTATAGCAAGGAGCCACACATGGCCTCTGTGTCCCTCTTGTGGAGTTCATATTGCAGCCGAGTGTTTTCGGCTTGAAGTGAAGCTATTTTTTTCTCTGCACGACCTAAGTCGCGCCTGAACTGGGCACTGTCCTGCTTGTGGCTCTGCTGCTGCGACTTCTCGTGGCCAGGCTGTTGTTGCTTTTGCTTCTGCATTTTCTGATTCTTCAACGTTCCTGCGCTCGGCCGTCGCATCCAAGAGGCTATGCTCGTCAGTGGAACCGGCATCGAGGATGAAGAAGGTGCCTGCAGGGCAATAGAGTGACGAACTGTTGAGTCAGTCTAACCCTGAGCACTTTCACCAGCGCTCAGTTCCTAGACCTACTGGACCTTTGAGCACTTTCGCCAGCGCTCAGTTCCTAGACTAGACCTGCCAGGACCTTCGAGCACTCTCTCCAGCGCTCAGTTCCTTACGAGAGCGACCCGTGCCTCCTCTTCCACTTCCACTTCCTCTAAATCGTCCGTGTCGTCCTTCTGGTCCTGGCAGCGGCTTGTTTTGATGTCAAGTAGCTTAAGGTTTACCTGGCTTCCTCAATAGAGCTGGCCTGCAAACCGGCTTCCGGGCGTGGACTCGCTGGAGGTGGCGGTGGTGCCGGTGGAGGTGGCCCTGGCGGTGGTCCGGGTGGCGGGGGGACTGGTGGCGGCCACTTGGCAGAGGCAGCTGCTCTTGCTTCATGCTCCTGTTCACAGGGAGCAAAAGCAAACACCACTGGGCCGAATGCCGAACCCTTCTACTCTGATGCCTCCTTTCTGCTCCACTCTTGCTTCGCCTGCTCAAGAGTCACAACCGAAATGATAAGGGCTGGGTCACAACGAGCCTCGGCCTCCGTTGTCTGCCCAGCTCCTGACTGGCGCCAGGAGTCATCCTCGTGCTCCTGTTCACATGCCGAAAAATCAAAGACCACTCATCCGAATGCAGAACCCTTCTACTCTCATGCCTCCTTGATGCCCCAGGTTTCTTTCACCTGCTCCAGACTCAAATCCGCTATGACATGGCAGGAGCACAACAACCCTCGGCCTCCATTGTCTCTCCATCTCCTGACTGCCCTTGCCACCAGGACGCTGACTCCTGGTCCAGGCAAAACTAACGCAGGCCCGACTCAATGTACACCCGAAACTGTCCTGAGCTCTGGCTGTCTGCTGCCATCTCTGAGCTTGGTTGGCTCTCTGGTAATCCTGAATGACAAGTCCGGTGTTTCGGAATCATGTCAGATGGGAATCAGTGTCCTTGTGCTCCCAATATCGTGGTGCCATGATGGCCGTGTGGCAGCGTTGAACAAAAGCAAGTAGTTAGAACTTTGATGCCGCCTAGACGGGTTCTGGGGAAATGCAACTGGGGAAATGGCACTACTGATGTTATCTTCCTACATAACAATCTGGTGCACTAGACAGTCGCATCGCCACCTGAAGTCTGTTAGTTGCTTCCTGCTCAGGGACGTGTGGAATGCTCGATTTCTTGGGCATTAACGGCTTCTATGAGCTTAGCTTTGACTCTGTGCTAGGATCCTGCTTGACGAGCAGCAGGAGGAGGACGCCTCACCCCTGCCGCTCTATCTGAATTTTGTTAGCGTGCGAATGTCCACGATAAACAATGTCGACTGAGTTGAACCCTGTTGCTGTTGGCCCCCTTGCAAGTGTGCATGTCAGGTCTCGAGCCACAAGAAAGGTGTCGGTGAAATCAAGCGACGTGCCCACATGCCACACTGTGCTCCTCAAGAACAAGCAAGGGTGCAGGTGCCACTGCCTCGTCTCGGCAACACCGACAGAAGAGGCAGGAGCAGCCACTGCGGCTCGGGACCTTGCACGAATGCCAGTCTCAGCCCCGTATTGCAGGACATGGCTGTGTCACACAAAGGCAGGGCACCACAATCTATGTCACGACTGCCTATGCAATGACGCTGCTGACACTGTCACGTGCCAAGAACTGCCACGAGGCTGCTCTTATACACACATACATAATTAAACAACTCTATGTATGTATGTATATATGTATATATACCTGTTGCAGGATGTAGGTGCAGCAAGGCATCGCCCAACCTGACACAAGCCAACTCGGCGGTTCATTCGGGCTTCTGGAATCGGCACTTTCGCCAGCGCCTGAGTCAGCACTTTCTCCAGCGCTGCAGTCACCCAGACACAGAGCCGTATCAAGATCCTGACAAAGGCAGTCACTCCTAAACCCTGAAATGCCGAACGCTGAAGCCCAAAATTCCTGAATCCAAAACCCCCAAAACCCTGAAAACCAAAGCCGTGATCCCCAACCTCGGCCGGCCCAAACCTTCCGGCGATAGCCACGTCTGGGACCCAAAGCCTCCAGCGCTACCAACGTCTGGGACCCAAACCTTCCAACGAGACCAACGTTTGGGGACCAAGCCTCGGGCGATGGGCAAGTAGACAAAAGAGCAGTAGTAGTAGTAGTAGTAGTAGTAGTAGTAGTAGTAGTAGTAGTAGTAGTAGTAGTAGTAGTAGTAGTAGTAGTAGTAGTAGTAGTAGTAGTAGTAGTACAGTAGTAGTAGTAGCAGTAGTAGTAGTAGTAGTAATAGTAATCGTAGTCGTAGTCGTAGTCGTAGTAGTAGTAGTAGTAGTAGTAGTAATAATTAGTCGAAGTACTACAAGTAATAGTACTACAAATTCTACTAGGCACAAATACTACAGGAGATAGTACTATTAACTACGACTAGTCGTAGTAGTCCTCGTCCTTGAACGTCTGGGCCCCAAACCATGGGGCGATGGGCAGATCCAGGGCCGAACCCCTCGTGCGACACCAACGTCTGGGGCCCGAATCCCAGGACCAACACCCGACACATGAACTTGGTCGCTGTAGCACGGTCTCTTGAATCAAATCTTCCGAACTGTAGCCTACCCCTGAACCAAGTCTAGGATCGATTGCAATGCCCACTACCTAGGATCGATTGCGGTGCCCACTACCCTGGGCTGGGAGCTGACATTGAACCGTCGTGCCAAGCTGGGACCCAAACACGGAACCCTGAGCCCAATCTACGAACACCAGAATCCCAGAAGCTACAGTGGTTCAGGGTGTAGGAATGCACAGGCTCGCCGATCCCGAAGATTCTGATCTAGATCTGAATGCCAGACCACCGAAACTGGGAAACTGGACCGGCAAAGCAGCATTTTCCAGTTGTCCACCACGCCCTCGCCCTGAACTGCGCAATAGAACCCACCGGCTCGCCCCTCCAGGCAAAGGCTTAAAAAACCCGCGGGCTCGCCCATCCAGGCGATTCGCGACTATGTTCGTCCAAGCGACAAGGTGCCAAAGCCTGCCAAAGCGCTAGCGGGTGTGAGTTTGCATCACAGAATTACATAGAGGGTTTGGATTCAGAGGTTCCAGAAAGGCTCATCCTCAGCAGCAAAACTGACACCATGGGGGAAAGCGTTGATGCGTACTAGTAGTAGTTGCAAAGACAGCAGCAGCAGTAGTAGTAGAGTGGTACTAGTCTGGTAATGCTACTAGCAGCAGCAGTAGTAGTATTAGTAGTAAGAATAGTAGTAGTAGTAGTAGTAGTAGTAGTAGTAGTAATAATAGTAGTAGTAGTACTACTACTACTACTAGCAGTAGTAGTAGTAGCAGTAGTAGGAGTACTAGTAGTAGTAGTAGTAGTAGTAGTAGTAGTAGTAGTAGTAGTAGTAGTAGTAGTAGTAGTAGTAATAGTAGTAGTACTAGTACTAGCAGTAGTCGTAATAGTAGTAGTAGTAGTAGTAGTAGTAGTAGTAAGTAGTAGTAGTAGTAGTAGTAGTAGTAGTAGTAGTAGTAGTAGTAGTAGTAGTAGTAGTAGTAGTAGTAGTAAGAGTAGTAGTAGTAGTACTAGTAGTAGTAGTAGTAAATAATACTAGTAGTGCTACGACTAGTATTAGCAGTCGTAGTAGTAATAGTAGTAGTAGTAGTCGTAGTAGTAGTAGTAGTAGTAGTAGTAGTAGTAGTAGTAGTAGTAGTCGTACTAGTAGTAGTACTAGTAGTTGTCTAGTAGTAGTAGTAGTAGTAGTAGTAGTAGTAGTAGTAGTAGTAGTAGTAGTAGTAGTAGTACTAGTAGTAGTAGTAGTAATAATCGTAGTAGTAATAGTAGTAGTACAAGTACTTGTAGTAGTAGTAGTAGCCGAAGAAGAAGTAGTAGTAGTAGTACGAGTAGTAATAGTAATAGTACTAGTACTAATACCAGTAGTAGTAGTAGTAGTAGTAGTAGTAGTAGTAGTAGTAGTAGTAGTAGTAGTAGTAGTAGTAGTAGTAGTAGTAAGTAGTTGTAGTAGTAGTAGTAGTAGTAAGAACAGTAGTATTAGTAGTAGTAGTAGTAGTAGGAGTACTAGTACTAGTAGTAGTAGTAGCAGTAGTAGTAGTAGTACTGGTAGTAGTAGTAGTAGTAGTAGTAGTAGTAGTAGTAGTAGTAGTAGTAGTCGTTAGTAGTGGTAATAATAGTCGTGGTAGTGGTACTATTAACTTAACAGTACTAGTCGAAACAAGTACTAGGACCTAAAAGTCCTGGTACGTGCAAGGTTCAAAAAACTGAAGCGAGACCCATGTATTCGAGTCCGAATTTTCGGGGGTCAGCCCCGTCTGGAGCCCAAACCCTCCAGCATGACCCAGCTCTAGGACCCCAACCCTGAAGGAGAGCGTAGTAACCCTTAGGTAGACTAACTAGTATTACTAGCAGATGTAGTAGTGGTTGTAGCAGTAGTAGTGCTGATACTCTTCTTCTCCTAGCTAGGTATTCTTATCCACAATGACACATGCTGCGACTATTAGCATCATACCACCATGGATTAAAGTACTTCTTCAAATTTCAAAGTCCTATGTATGAATCGTGCTTGTTGGTCTGAAATCTAAACTTCGACTTGGAACACAGAATTGCACGGACACCCATGTCCCGGCCCGAAACCCTCAAGCCATGCACACTTCGGGAATCCGAACCCGGAAGGGATTACCCAAACACTCCAGTAGTGCTCACGTCTGGGACCCAAACCCTCAGGCGATGCCCATGCCTGGGACCCAAACCCCGGTGTGCTGAAAGCAGCAGGGCCGAGGACGGCTGAACCATGGTCGGTGTGTCGTGAATTAGTCAGTTTGGCAAGCCCAAACGCAGGAAATGTGGGGTTTAAGGGTCCGGGTCGTAAGGTTTCAGGTCGCCAGAAAGCTCGGGTTTACGCTTCGAGGCCTGTGAGTTGTATTGATTTCATCGTAACTTCGATGCTCCTTTGACAACTTTCCCAGACCAGCACCATGAAGCTATGTGTAACAAATCAGAGTCCTTGGGTGAAGATCGCTTTATAAACCAACCCTGAACCCTAGACCCTTTTGGCAGCCTTGGGTCGACGGTCAGGCCTCGGCAGCCGCAGAAACCCGCCTAAAACCCCGAAATGCTAAAGGCTTAATTAAGTTTATTTCATTTGAGCCCAGGGCCAAGGGTTTAGGGTTTAGGGTCTGGCCTCAAGCTCAGCATGGAGATGTGTCCCGGTTCTCGCTCGGGGCCTTTCGGCAGAGCTCGCAGTGTGCCGTGCCGTCCAAGTCAACTTGTTGCCAAGCCGCGATCGGCACAACGTTGCCGCGCGGAATCTTCCCGGCAACACGAGCCGGCGCTTGTGGCCACGGGATGCGAGGCCGTGGAGGCACAGTTCTGTCCTGCTGGGCGGCCACGGTGGAGGCTTCCACTTCCTTATGGCTCGCCGGCAGTTAACGCTGCCCTCATTTCATCCTTTTAATGGATGGGCATGCAATCGGGCCTCCGAGACGGATCTTGTTGTGGGGCGGGCATCTCCATGGCTGAGAATTGCAGCGTCTCGTGCTCTTCAACGCAAGCGGCTTCAGCTTAAGGCTTCACTTGGGGTTTGGATGCTTGATGGCGGCTGGGGAATACTAGGATTGCGATTTCCGAGTACGATGTGGGCTTGGCACGGATTCTGGTGAGTCGGGCCTGGAACCCTGGTTTGGTTGCTTGGCCTGCGGGCCTGCGGGCTTACGTGGTCTTTCTGGCGCCTGTATCTCCTGCCACGGCGGGACAGGGCCAGAAAGAACCTGTTGGCCCCGAACAGTCCTGAAAGTTTCCCGGCTCTCAGCAGTGGCAGAGCGGGGAAGCTTTCAGGGTTCAGGCTTGAAGGCAGAGGCTAGACTTTCAAAGCGAAACCGATAACAAACCGGCA